CAATAATTTTTTTTCTTTTTAATATAGAATTAGCATGCATTTTAGGGTTTAAAAATAAATTGAAACTATAATAATTCAAAGAAGTAGAGCTTTTGGTTTAATTTGACTTAATACAAGAAAATTAGTCAGATCTAAACATAATAAAAATTGACGGATCGAGAGTTCTTTTTCGATTTTATGGAAAGTTCAATTGTGCGTGCAGGCTCTCATCACTGGATTATCTGTATGTTGTGAATGTCAAAGTAAAAAAATTAAGGATACATTTGGTTTAGTACAAGTGAAGGAGATTTCTTGTAATTTAATTAGGCATAATTGTTTTACAATGTTTGGTTTAGGGAAAGTGATTAGTAAAGTGATTCCATTGTAATATCATTACAGTAAGAGAAAATAATATCATTTTCTTATCTCAGAAAGGGAAAGTAACATATTTTTGTCTCCAAATTGTCTACCCCGATCTTATTTTATTTACTGTTCTTATTCTACTCCTTTTTTTTGTTACTAATTATAGAACCTTAGCCGCTCACCAACAAGCCCTAACAGTTGAACTCTTTGGGAGGAGAGAGGGGTGCCATTTGAATCTAGTGATCGGAGTAAGGAAGAAACGAAGCAAAAAGAGAAGAAAAGAAAAAAAGAACAGTCCATCAACAAAGAGTAAGGAGGAAGCAAGTCCATCAACAAAGAGTAAGGAGGAAGCAAGAAGAACAGTCCACACCATAGAGCAAGGAAGGAGAGAAAAAAGAAAATAAAACGAAGAGCCCACTCGAAGGATGATGGGTGCAAGAAGAAAAAAAAGAAAGAAAGTAATGGCTAATTAATCAATATTTTTTATAAAATAATTTAAATTAATTAATTTAATTATTTAAAATTTAACTAATTTAATAAAAATATATATTTAAGAAAATGAGAAGATTTGAAAAAATAAATGTTTGGTGTCATGAGAGAAAGAAAGTATCAAGAAGTTTAAAATTGCACATGATGCTTTTGACAACAACTATTTATGTATCAATAGATAATGTGATCTATCCATAGAATTTTTTATTTATTGATATATTGGTGTTTAGATAATATTTTTATTTTTAATTTTTATATATTTAAAATGAAAATAAATATTTAATAATTTTATATATTTTAATATTTAAATAATTAATATAAATATATTATGTTATTTTTTAATGTTATTATTTATTATTTGAATTACTTAAAGTTAAAAAGTTAAATTTTATATTAAAAATATAAATTTATTCAATTTATATATTTTTTATACATAAAAATAATTTTATTAATTTATATTATATTTTTAATAAAATATTTACAAACTAAATATTATAATATAATTCTTTCAATAATTATATTTTATATAATTATATTTTTTATTATACCAAACGTTATAAAATTATATTTCAACAATTACATATTTAATAATTACATTCTGAATAATATAAGTGTCGGTAAAGGACGATAGTATCTGTGAGTCAAATGCCTTTGTTTTTTATTATTTACGTGTCCATTATTTTTTTTTTAATTTTTGGATTTGAAATAATTAATTATATTATCTTTTGGCTCTCATTCAATTAAACGATTAAACAAAAAAAAATTGAGAGTTAGAGGGAGATATTTTATAAATTAAAAAGTGGGGAAGGGAGGAAGTCTTTTTGTCTTTGTCTTCCTTATGGCCTGATCTGACGCAGCCCCATCTACCACCACACAACTTCCTAACCGACCCACATCACCGACAAGAGGGGCCCACCATCCATTCGATGATAATCCTACGGCCCAAATCACTCCTTTCCCGGTCAAATCAGAGCCGTAACAATATTCCATTTATTACCCTCCACGTGGCTTACTGCCTTTCATCAAATAAATTCTCGACACGTTATCTTGTACTCTATTCCCTCCGTTTTTCTTTTGTCCGTTCTCAGTAGAGTAGAGACGGACAAAGTCAAGCCAAAACAAACCAAAAATATATACATATATATATATACATATATATATAATAACAGTGAATTGTTATTTTTATTTTCTGACACTAAAAACCTGTACATCTTGTTGTTTGATCTTTCTGTTGTTGTCTTCATTCTATGATGGTAAAATTGTGTGTGTCCAAATTTGGGTCTGAAACTTCAGGTTTTGCAAAGGAAAACAAGAAGCAAGTGGCGTATAAGCATTAGAGTTAAGAAAGGCTGCAGCAGGCAGCGAGCAGCAGCTGGGTAAAGCAAATTTGCTGAAAGAAAAAAAACAAGAGAGAGAGAGAGAGACATAGAGAGAGAGATAGAGAGTTGTAAGGATAAGTGTAAAGGGTTTTAGGTGGGGTTGGGGTTTATTTGGTGGTTGGAAAATGATGAAAAGGCTTTTTTGGGTCTTTGGGGGAGTGATTAAAGAAAAACCCTAATTCTTTGTCCTACTCATAGTCATACATACCTACTTAAAATGGGTATCCAGAAAAAGGGTTGTTGAGAAATCTCTATGTTTGTATATAAAAGATGATTTCAGATCTGTCTGTAGAGTTTCAAAGGAGGGGTGATCTGTATGAAGCAGCAGTTGGGTGGCGGTTTGGTTTTTCCCATTTAATTCATGATTTCACTTTTTTGTTTCCATTTCTGGTGCATTTTCAGGCAGTTTAGCTAAAGATGGTAAAGATCATGTGTATGGGAATTGGTGGGGGAAAGAGTGGATGATAATTCAGGATAAGAAGAGGAGGAGGGACACAGAGAGACTGACAGAAGAGAGTGAGCACACGCAGGCAATTGTATGAAAAGCCATACCTTTGCGGGTGCGTGCTCACTTCTCTTCTGTCAGCTTCAGCTTTTGCATTGTGTTTCCTCACAATGTTTGTTATTTATAAATACCCCTCTTTTTCTTCTTCTTTCTCTCTCTCACTCAATCTCCACAGATGACGCCTTCGAGTGTCTATTTTTCCAGATGTTTTTGTTTTCATCCATCCACATGTCCTCCCTTGTTCTTCGGATAAGAATGAGTCACTGCTCAAAAAACAAGTACACCGGCAAACAAGGGTCAGAGAGATAGAGATGACATAAAAAAAGCAGGCTTTTTTGTTGTTCAACTATATCATGAAATAAGTCTTTTCTTCTTTCTCATCCAACGAAACCCTCTTAAACCCTTTCTTCTGCTTTAGACAGAGATTGAAATCCCCCATTTTTATGTGTGTGAGATAAGTCATAAGATAAGTCATAAGATAGCAAAGAGGAAGAGTACTGTTGTTGTTGTTGTATGGCAAAGTGATAAAAGAGGGAAGTAAGCGTGATCATAAGCTCTTTTCTGTTTTTGGGGTTATCATTTATCAAGTATTGTGTTTGCGTTATTAATTGATAAATTTTGCTGCTCTTTTTGGGAATATTTTTAATATTAAAATAACAACAGTTTTGAGCTTTGAAAGAAGCGTGACTTTTGATGCCTTTCTCTTTTGAGGAGGACGAAGTGGCTTCTTTGAAGGTACGCCTGGTTACTGTTCTCATTTTAACGGAAAACCGTATCGCTTTCTTGGAATTTTTATGTTCATTCACCTTATCAGCTTTTATTTCTTTTTGCTTTGGTTAAAACCCTCTTCCTCTTCACCTTCCTGTTTTCTTGGAAACCATGCAAGGAAATGGCCATGTTTGGCTTGTGTTCTTTACCCTCAATCTGGCTCTGATTTGGGGTTTTCTCCATCTGGTGTTCCTGAGTTTTGACCCCAAACGAGAGTCCAAGAAGTCGAGTCTACAAAGGGTGATGATTTTTGGTGTTTTTGATTCTGATATCTGATTCCTTTTTGATTCTGTTGTCTAACCACTGAAGCTTTTGACTGCATTTGGGATTGCCTCAGGGTTTTGGATCTGGTAGTATCGGCTGCTTTCTTTTCAGTTACTGAAAAACTATGGGTCACTCTACTCCTTGTGGTGGAAATTGGAAGTCATCTTTTTCTTATTTTCTGCAAAAATATGCAATATTTCCTTTTCATTATTGAAGGCTTGGTAGCAGGAAAGTTCCTAATGCAGGTTAGTTTGATTCAGTCAGTGGATTTTTCTCTAATTTAGAGTTCGTCTTCTTTGAAGCTGGTATTAATCATCTTTTTTCAAGCTGGTCTTTTAATATTTTAGTAGTAAATCTGTTTGCAATTTTTTACACAGCACTTTGTTTGGCATTGGGTTTGGGAGGCAGCAAACTGTGTTTCTGATTTGCACAGATTAATCATTCAGGCAACCATGTTAAATTTCCTTGAAGCTTGTTTTGGTTAATGATGATGTTTTTACTGAACCTCTTTTCTTCAAATTTTATGTGATTAATTGAGAGGTTAGTCTTTAATCTAGAGAAGAACGCATTTCTCAATGTTGGAATCGAGATTTTGAGCCTATTCTTGAATGAATAGATACATTGATTAAATTGCAGCTACACTGATTGTCTAACACTTGTCAATGAACAAGTTAAATGATCAAAGAAGGATTAATGAATTGATTTGGTATAAAAATTTAGTGGGAACAATATGTAAACTAGATAGGAGTGACTCCAGAATTCCCTTAAAATGTCTTTTACTTTAGGATTATTTTTGCTAATTATCCTTCAATTCAGTGTTTGATCTTCCTCTTAAGGGAAGTTATTTCTTGCTGTTTGAGCATGCATATTTAATAAATTAATATTGAGTTCACAAGTTTTGATATATATATATATATAAATATATATATATAACTTTTTGTTAAGTGATAATCAAACATGCATTTTGTTTGCTATGGAGTCCTTCATACAAAATAAGGGAATCCTAAATTGATATGAATTTGTGTCTAAGGGCTATCTGGTGGATCTTATATTTTAAGACATAGTATAATCATCTAAGAGATCCCAGCTGCTAGTTAAAATTGGGTTAGGAGCTGTGGTGATATCCTTGACTTTGGGCTAAGAGTTTGTGGACTTTTGTTGTTTGAGAAAGTGTTGTCTACGTTTACAGCCTACACTGTTTCAATTTTTTATATAGCAATATCGTGATTTAGATATAAAATCCAATAAATTCGAGGGAACCAAATGAAGGGGGCACATCGATGTTGATGATCGGCTAGTATTTGATTTTTGGCTGGAACTGGTAGATGAGTGATCATGAGCATGCACCTTTATATTGCTTGATTTTGAAGTTGTCACTTGATTCATGTATATTTAATTTTAAAGATTTATTGTTAGAGTATAGGGGGCTTAGGTTAGGCGTTTAAGAATTTGATAAAATGGTCTAGTAAAATAATTTTGAAAGTAATCCCAAGGCAATTTTGGTGCCAGTATATAGTATTTTCAGTATGTGACAATGCTACAATGAGATGAAAATTAGGTTGCTAAATTTTATGCTGAATATATATTGTATTTGATAAATAAATATGTTATTAGTTTCATGCTAATTTTTATATGTTTTCTTCATATATTTTGGAACCATAAAAACACCCTCAAGTCAATCTTATTATATGGTTGTTCTATTAATATAAAGCATTGGCTGTTATTTTGATTTTGTCTTTAAAAACTTGAGGTATTTGGTTTTGTTTGCAAGGTAACCATGCAAAAATCACATTCTGATGGTTAAAATTCAAATATTAATTATTAAAAAAGATCATCTGGTAAGGTCATTGATTTTCCATTATATGTTAATGGTAATATGCTGCACTCAAAAAGGCTAATTAACAGTTATTGAGCCTAAAGATTAGAACTTCCAATGGTAGAATCCCTCTCTAGCTTTGGCGACTTATGCTGTTAGTTGTTGTTGAAATGATATTACCTGTGATTATGACAATTCTGTTTAGGAATGAAAGTAACAGCAAAGACATATTAGCATAAAGTGCAAACTCATGTTCGATGTAGTGGTCACTAATAAGGATTTTGTGGGAGTGGTGGTTCTTGTGATAGCCATGGCACATGATGTTTGAGAGGTTATATCCATAGCATGAAGTACGTACTTGTCTTCCGTGAGGTTGGTTGTGGATTGTAGTGATAAGCTTTGAAACATTAGGGTGACAATGGTGGCATGTTACAGCATAAAGTGTTGGCTAATTTATTCTAATTAGAAAATAATCAAGTGCAATGACATGTCTATGGATGGGATTTGACCTATGTATATGAGTTTAATTAGTTATCTTGTGTATTCAAGTCCGTTAGGAGTGTCATTAATCAAAATAGATTTTAGATCTTAGTCTAAATGCAGCCTTAATTGCTTCTGAACACAACCGATACATTACAAGAATTTAATCCTTGGTTTTGCTTACGTATTTACATTGGATCTTCGTTAAGAATCTCTATGTTGGATTCATACATTGCTAATTGTAGTTTTCCAGATTCTCTCAAACAAGTAACACTAGATTTTAAATCATGAAAATATGGCTAATATGGATGGAGATTAAGACGACTATATATAGCCATTATCTTTCTAATATTCAAATCTCAAATAGCTTCACTAGAAAATCTGTTTTAGAAGTCTAGAACTGAAAAGTGAGATTTTGAAATGGTATGTGTTTGAAGAAGGTTTAGGTAGGATAGAACAGAAACTCATGTATGATTGGAGAAGGATTCCAGGAACAGCTAATGTTATATGAATTTTTTTGTGATAAGCCTTTCAATATTTCATTGGATAAAAGTTCGGAGTTACTTCAATTGTAACTCTCGAAACAGAGAACAAAAGATTTTCTGGACATAAGTCTTATAGAACCTGTTAGCCATGTACATGTCACGCCCAGAAAATTAATGCTAACCAAAAAAATATATCCTTATGCACAAAACTCCCACTAGTAGTCAAACCTCCCTAGTTTGAATCCATCCACCTAAGTAAAAACCATATCCTTAGAACCTGTTTTATGAAATTTTTGATGAATCCAAAATTATTGCACATAAGAGCTGGTAAATTTATTGTTGTTTAGATGTTTATAATTTGTCGAAATGAGTGGCGCTAGTATTTTCAAGATTTTTCCCTTATTCTGTATATGTTATATGTATAATAGTGGTAGGTATTCATTACTTTCATACTAGCTTTGTGTTCAACCATGTGTTTAACAAAATGATCAAAGTGGTGAAGGTCTGAAGGACACATGGAAAATTAATGCAATAATCCAAAGGCCTCTAGTACTTGAATGAGGCAAAGAAAGGGAACGACACATCATAGAGCACATTACCTAAAATTACAACCTGGGGATATGATGAATTATTCATAAAATTATGAAAAAGTGACAACTTCCACGGCTTTCATGTAGTCATCAAGTGAATGAAATTTCTAAGTAAATACTCAAATCAATTGAAAGTAGCTCTTGTAATTTTGTAAACTCATCTTTGCCTCATTCTTGTAAGTTTGTTTATGTCACTTTAGCCTCCTTTGTTCATTGTAGTTGCTCCGGATAACCAGCCTTTCTAGACTGCTTGCTAGAGATTTGCACCAGCAAATCCCACTGAATGCCATATCCACTTCTGTAGACAGATGATTTACTCACCTTGAGAATTTGATGTTCTAAACTGTCTCCATTAATTAATTAGTGCAGTAAATAGGTCTTCCATGTTGTGGAACTGCATTTGATCAGCATAGTTAAATATTATGGAATGACTTAAAATTTACATGGAGAGTACAGCTTATTCTCATTAGCCTCCTTCACAGTTGCTATTAAATTTAATTTGTCTCCTAATTAAATAAAGTGAATAGATGAATAGCTTATACTTTTGCCTTTCAAAAGAAAATAAAGAATACATAGTGAAAGGTACGACACATTCCAGAAGTGTCAAGCGACTTTGTAGTATCTACTTGTTAGTTCCAAGTTTTACTTGTTCTGTTGTTCAGAAGTAGAATTGATATGTTGTCCAAAGCTATCAAACAAGATTGTATAAAGATTTTTGGTCTTTTAGGGAAATGTGGTGCTTTGGTCTTCTAAATATTTATCAATTTATGGGGTAATAGAGGAAAAATTACTTGATCTGTATACAGGCTTAATGCTAAGGATTGTTGCTTATGTAAATGAGGTAAGAATACTTTCTGATCTCATTATGATTGGTGAAAACTGAACTCTTGCTGTTTCATTTACCTAATTAAAAAAAACTTTGACTGCACCTTATTATCAAAATATATGAAATTTGTCGCCTTTTTTTTCTTTTTGAAAGGCATTCGTCTGCTTATTTTAACTGCCATAGGATTAAAATATATTGCTCAATGTTCAACATATCTTAACTATGTCTTGGGGCTTTTGTTGACATAAACTAGAGTAACATGGCTTTTTTTGGTTGTGCTTTATACAAATGCTACCATGAAATCCACTTTCTATCAAGTATTAATCCAGCTTCCAGAATTTTTATTTGGCCTCCAGAAAGACTCAAAAAGTAAAATAGATGTGCTGGATACCTTGATTTCCTCAAGGCTTGGTTTTTAATCAATTGCTGTTTAGTATTTTTGTTCTTTTTGATTCCAAGGATGAAGACCGAAGATGCCGGAAAGATTTTGTACTTTTGAGCATATGAAAGTTGGAAGTATATGCACCATAGGCTGGCTTAATATGATTGATATGTCCTATTTTAGTTATATGGTTTTTCTTAAGGAATGAATTTTCAGAATCTTCTTGTGGCTAAAGTTTATAGGAGAAACTGCTAGAGTTATTTAAAATAGAGCAATTGTGCGTACAGTGATACAAGAATTCAGTTCTATTCCTAGATCTTACCTTTCCTGCGTGGAGAATGCAATCTACCTTTGATTTACATGGATATCTTTTTCCATGATAGCAGTGTGTGAGACTCTTTCTTGTAGCCATTTTATTTCCAAGTTAATTGTAATGCTGTTTTCTTTATTCATTAGAAGTTGGAAACATAGAAATACTTAGTGGTTTTCAGGCTTAAATCATTGCTTCTGGTCTCAAGTTATTTACCATTCTATTTAGTGGACATCTTTGGTGTCTCTAAGAGCTTATTCATGCTTTTTCCAAATCTTTTCTTATGTCTATTTACAGGCTTGCATTCTGAATCCAATTATCAGTCTGCTAGATATTAGATTTGTTTAGTGGTATACCACAATTAAAAAGGAAGAAGAATTAGACTCTTAACTGCTAGCTTCTAGTTGATTTATCATGCATAATCTGGTAGACAGTTTATCCTTGGTTGTATTTTGGAATCGCTATCAGTGGAGTTTACCATTTATTGTTATCTGTGTATCTTGACTCCCCACTTTTCAGTTTTGTTGATTTTCTAGATTTATCCGACAATGCTCTAAGCTAGCTACAAATAGAATCCAAGTATCTTGTGAAAGCATACCAGAATTAATATAGTTTATGTAGCTGGCCTTGTTATTTGAAAGGTCTTCAAGGATGACTTTGAGTTTTCAATCTACTGTGTTGTCGATGATTTTCAATTCAAAGCTTTATTTTCCTCCTTTGTTTCCTGGTGGTTGCCGTAATTTGTCTGTTAATGTTATATTTAAGCACTTCTAACTCTTTCCTTATTGTACTGACAATGATTTGCCACTTACATTATTGATCAGTTTCAATCTGTTACCTATGTCTCTTGATATCACTTTTCTGAAATTTCTAACTTTGGTGTTGTGCTCCTCAGAATCATATGGGATCAAAGGAAATGTTCAGATATGGATTCCAGTAAGTTGCAATTCGCATGGTTCATCCTTGAAATTCGAAGGGAATGTGGAATTCGGATGGACCATCATCACTACTTTAAAACCAAAAACTAGAAGCAACTACTTTACTCCCTATCCTGGGGATGCAACTAGAAGCTAACATGTTGATTTTAGCAATAAGTTCATAATTCAAATAGCAGCTGAAATTGTGGGTTCACGAAAGGTGGGAAGCTGTTTGTTGGGGAGAAGAAATTGAAGCTAGGAGGTGTGGAGGGAAGATGTTCATCATGATTGATACTTCTGTTACTGTTAACATTGTTTTGACTAAAAAAAATTCACTATTTACTATTTTTCGTTTTAATTATGTACTATGAATATTTCTCAACCAGAACGAGAAGAACAGTTATATTGTGCCGACAGCAGGGAGTAGTGATTATGTCAAAAACATGAATCTTTGCTAGAATTTTGTTTGCCTTCCAAATTTGAATGTTGCTTGCTTCATTTGTCAGTTGTCACCCTGTTGTTGTGTGGCTGGGGATTCTGGTTTGTACATGCAGAAAGTGGGGCTTAAGTTAAGGCACCCAAAGCACATTTGTTTGTCTGTCCCTTCGCAGGTTTTTGCCTGAACATGGTTGGTTGGAATGTGGAGAGTGGGCCACTTTTTGAGGCCCAATCATGAGGTTTCCATCCCATTTGATTGGTCCACCAAAAGGTTTCCCGAGCAGGGGCCCTACAGGCCCAATTTCCACAATGGGCCCCATCGATACACCTCCCCTTTCATTTTGGTTGAGACGCTAACAGAAAGCATTTCAATTATTAGGGGTATAAAAGGGTTACCCTTGAAGCTGGGACAAAGCATTGGGTTGCCTTTTGTCTTTCTTAATTATGATTGTATGCACTTGGACCAATTAGGTCAGATTTCCCTCTTAATCATGTGCAATTTCATGATTAAATTAATCTTAAACCATAATCACGATTTGAAATGTGGCTCATATTCTTGGGTAGTTAAGTTGGATTTTCAAAGAACTATGATTTTAGTTTTTGGATCTTTTTATACAACATTATATTTTTGAAAAGATGTTTATACTTGATGCACTGTTACTGTATTAATTTATAAGTTATGATTGTTAGTACTTATAATTTAAAAATGAGGTAACACTTATATAATCATTCTGAAAAGCTTTTCGGCTTGTGAAGTTGAACCGTCCATTTGGTATGGCCCACCCAAGCTGATTAGGCATAAATTAGAAATTAGAGATGAAGTTATCAAAGAATTAATGATTAACCTCTTTGAATCTTAACAAAATACCTTCCCCGCATAGATGCAAGAGAAAAGAATCGTTTAAATACAACGTGCAAGAATGCATGCATCACCATCCACATTAGGATGTGATTACTGGCCAATAAAATATTTGATCTTCTGATTAATTATATAAAAAATAAGCATTAGGTTAAGTAAACCTGATAGTACGAGGTACTGTTTCCTGTTACACTATGTTTTTACATAAATTTGAAGTAGAAATTATCACCCACGTTATGTTTGGCAAAATGGAAAATAAAAAGGTGAGAAAGAAAAAGAATGATGAAAGAAAGAAAGAAAGAAAGAAAAAAAGGCAGATTTTCTGTCCTTGTCTTTCCTTTTCTGATTTTCTTTTTTCTCTCTTACCAAACACAATTGCTAGTGAAAGAAAAAGCTAGAGTTAATGAACGTTTGCATGAAATTGTGAAGACCCAACTATTACTATTATTATTATTAGTAGTAGTAGTAGTTGAAGGTGAGGATTAGGAAATATAAATGCATTGTGCAATAATGACAAAGGGTTATCTGTGCATTGGCCAATGGGTTCTTTGTTTAATGGTAGGCAGGATGGCCGATAAATAGAAACGATAAAGCGCTATAAAAAGCTTTCAACTTACTTTAACTGGCTGCTTAAAGCGGAAAAAAACAAGAACTAAATGTTATCCATTTTTTCTGCTGTCTCCTGTGCTTTCATTTCTTGAAAAGACAGTTTTGGTCTGCAATCAATTAATTTTAGATTAAATACAAATTTTAATATAATATCAAAATAAATGGGATTTCTTTTAACTTTTATATTAAATTATTCATCATTTATATTACTTGATATATTTGTTATTTATACTAATTTACAAATCTAATATCGTCTTAATCACTCGATAACATGCAATGCATGTAAGCCACGGACTGACAAATGTGGCACAAGTATTTGATTTAATAAACGAGAGAGGGAGAAACTTATCCTATTTATCAATTAATTTAATATGTATGCCTTTGTTCTAGGACTCTGAATTTGAGATCTAGATCTACTTGGCTACGGAGTCGTTGGTACCTGGAAGGAACTGAGTCTCCTGGTGTGTTTTTTCACCTTTAAAAACAAAGATTCAGTGTTCAGAAGGGTGGGGGAGTTGAGGTGGAAATGGAGAAGAAAAACTTGAAAGAGAAAGCCAGAAACCCATGTGCCTGGAAGTGGTTCTGGAACAAGTTCTAATCACCCAAAACGTGACAGTTGCTGTCCTTCACATGAATGAAACTTGGCCATTGTATTGTCTTTATTCCAACGTGACAGCACCTCTTGTCTACCCCCAAGTTGCAGTCAGGTTTTTTAACCTTCCACTTGCAATTGAGAAGAAGCTGGAACAAAATGCTGCCTTCGCTTCACAAGCCCATTCAAGGCACGACCTGGACAAAAATTCTCTATTAAATGAGAATCATAGACATTTTCACTATCGAGACTTAGAAGTAGCAACACAAGATAAAAAAGAGCTCCAAATTTCAAGTGCTAGAACCTTGAGTCTAATTCAAGTAGCTGGACCCTTCTACAAGCTTACCACCCACCATTTACTTCCCGTATTGCTCCGGGGCCCAGCCAGGACAGCAAAAGGAGCACATCGGGTTGGCCCAACACTGGGTTTCTGAGCGTAAAAAATCCAAGACTCTTTGCTAGCTTTCCATGGCAAGTCATGGCATCCAGGGACAGTAAATTGAACTTGATACTTCGATACTCGGAAGCCTAAACTTGCAGGTTCCAACACCACCCATAGACAGAGAATGACAGCTGCAAAATTCAGGCTCACCCTTTATTCCCAAGTTTTAAGCGTCTTAAAACAGCCAAAAAGACCGACAAATAAATGGAAGAAAAGTTGAAGACGATGATCATTATATCACCAGAAGCTTTCAAGGGACCCATATTATTGCCCGCAGTAGAACATGAATCCTTAAAAAGTAGACAATGAAACAAAAGATGGGGACTCTAAAGAGACGTGGTGAAACCAAATGCTGTGAAAGGCTATAGCCTTTGGTGGAATTGTAGGTCAATAATTGAGAAGAAAAATCAAAGGATGTCAAAGTTAAACCCCACTAAACGCCATCTGGCTTCCTTGATATGAAATTATGATGCAAAACTTTTAGCTTTTCACTGTACTAAGTTTATATTTTTCCTATGCTAATATGTTTTGCTTTGTGTGCGGACGTCAGATGTACAACAAATTAATCTGATGAGATGTACAACATCCTCGTTTATAAGCTCAGTTACAGCTAGAGTAAAGACTAGTGGCTTGATTAGCTTTAGAAGTTGAAAATTTCGATACGGCAATGGAAAATTAAGGTGTGCTTTCCCAATGCTCACATGGAAGTAGCGAGGAACTTTTTCTCTTTAGTAATTGTAAAATGGTTCCTAAATCCTAATTAACTGTTGAAATACCATCTAGGGAAATTCATACTGCAGTGCTTGGGAAAACTATAATCAATGCTTGGTACTATGATAAGAAATCATTGATCCAAGCTATCACCACGAAAAAAGAAAAGTTGCAGAGAAAGGTAGTAACTGAAGCAGTCCACTTGCACATATCAGCATGAAAACATCAACCTAAATAGATCATACAACAATAAAATTGCGGAATGATTCACACATAATTCCTTGTGACATGTCACAAGGACCAAACCCACAAAGACATTGATGGAAAATAATCAAAGAACAGAACAAGACCAGAACAGAATATAGAACAGAAGGTCCTCTGCTTCCATTCTTCCATCTAAACAATCCCAACAATGACAAACAACAACAATAACATCATCGAACAATGGTCTAAAGAACATATAACTTCCCATCTCCTAGTTTTTGATTTTTGGTTTTTTCAGCCCCAATCAAGCCAGTGTCGAGTTCTCGGCGGGTGACGTCCAGACGATGTCCTTAAGCGCCGGTCGGAGCTCTTTACTGCAAAACTGGTTGTACTCAAGGGTATCACCATGGTCTTTTTTAACTTCCACCACCAAAAAAGACGGGGTCACTGCAAATATGTCAGCAGCAATCGCTAACTTGCCTTTCCTTCCACATTCCTGACCCTGCAACCTCACTCTTGACTCGCTCTTCTTGACGCTGAATTTCTTCGACTTGGCCACCTCCTCCAGTCTCGATATTACACTGCTTGCCGGCCTTGTTGTAGCGAATCTCAGCTCCTCTTTCTCTTCTCTCTTCTTCTCTTCGAACAGAGGCGATAAATCAAAGCCCTCAGACAAGGAAATGATATGGAAGGCGTTCAACGTCTCAGGCTTGGATGATTTGTCACCATTGAACGCTTCAAACTCTAACTCTTCCTTGGTTCTCACGGTCTTGGGCATAGATTTCTTGAACCAAGACGAGTCCATGATCTTTGAGATGGTGATTCGGGTACTTGGATTTGGATCTAAAAGCTTGGTGATTAATCTTCGAGCTTCAGGGGAAAACCAAGGTGGGCACTTGAAATCTCCCCTATAAATCTTCCTATACATGGCCACCAAGTTATCATCTTGAAATGGTAGGAACCCGGCGAGAAGCACATAAAGAATCACCCCACAAGACCAAATATCTGCCTTAGCTCCATCGTACCCTTTTTTCCCAATAACTTCAGGCGCCACATAAGCCGGTGTTCCGCAAGTAGTGTGCAACAATCCATCTTGTTTCAAGTGTTCCGAGAAAGCACTGAGTCCGAAATCTGTAACCTTCAAGTTGCCATCTTCATCTAAAAGCAAATTCTCCGGCTTCAAATCGCGGTGGTAAACCCCACGGCTATGACAGAAATCGATAGCAGACACCAACTGCTGAAAATAAACTCTTGCCAGGTCTTCCTTGAGCCGACCCTTGGCAATCTTAGAGAAGAGCTCTCCACCACGAACAAGTTCCATGGCAAAGTAAATCTTGGACTTACTCGCCATGACTTCATGCAACTCAACTATATTGGGATGTTTCACCATCTTCATAACGGAAATCTCTCGCTTGATCTGGTCCATCATCCCAACTTTAATCACCTTCTCTTTGCCAACAACTTTCATGGCAACACTCTTCCCCGTCTTAAGATTCCGTGCAT